GTGTGTGTGTGTGTGTGTGTGTGTGTGTGTGTGTGTGTGTGTGTGTCTGTTTGTGTGTCTGTCTGTCTGTCTGTGTGTGTGTGTTTCCCCCCCGCCCCCAGATCTGCTGGCCTGAGAAGGTCTGTGCAATGAGCAAATCATCCCCACGCTCAAAGCCGTAGGAGAGGCAAGAGGGATAAGTTTCGAAATGGGGATAGACTTCAATCTATCCAAAGGTTTACTTTCCTTCTAAGCTTGCAGTCTTTTCTAAAGGAACGAAGCTCCTTGCTTTGTTTGTTTTTTTCATTCCACGTTTAAGGAAAAAAACACACACGTCTATCTGGAAATTAGATGGCTATTCTGGTTGATGCAACCGGTGCATACTTGAAATAATAAGTCAGTGAGATTCGAACGTGATTCGATCAAATTGCAATTTCTGTTTCCCACAGGAAGGTTCAGTAGGGCAAATAGGTTTAACACAAAACCACCTGGGTCAGCAGATTTGTGTGCCACTCCATGGCTTTATGCTGTATAGACTATTTTAGCAAGACTCCCGGAGGGCAGCGAATAACTGAAAGAGAAGTCGAGTATTGTATCTGGATTCTGTAGATTTAAAGTTTGCTCGCTGAATTCAGTTTGACATTCTGAGTTACTGGAGATCACAATATTAAAGGCAGGTGAGGTGGAGAAGTTAGAAGGTTTTGATATGCACGTGGTTGACAAGTACATTTTTATTTTTTGTTCAATTTATATGGGCACATATTTTAAACTGATGACTGGGTGGGTGGGTAACAATGCTTAAAATGAGATTAAAATAAATATATTAGAATGGCCTTGTCCAATAAAACAGTTCTATTTTGTGGTTTAGCCCAGGAGTCGCCAACCTTTTGGACCTCAGGGACCACCAAACTCATAATTTTAGATCCCAGGGACCACCAACCGGTTCTGTGGGTGTGGTCTAATTTGTGGGTGTGGCTTGGTCATGTGACTGGCTGGGAATGGCTTGTATGTAAATATTATAAATATTTATATAAATATTGATTTTTTTTACAAAAAAAGAGCAACTTTTACCCAAAATCAGGCAAAGCAGGCAGGCAGATTGAGTTGCTCACAGAATCACAGATTCATTCAGAAATCTATCTGCCATTGGCTAGCTCAATCTGTCACATACACTCATAAAATTTGCTAGCAAGAAAACTCACAAAATTAACTCACAACACACCATTCATGTAAATATTGGATTTTTTATTTAAAAAAGAGCAACTTTTACCCAAAATCAGGCAAAGCAGGCAGATTGAGTTGCTCACAGAATCATTCAGTAATCTATCTGTCTGCCATCGGCTAGCTCAGTCTCTCAAATTTGCTTGCTGTGAGTCTGCACTTGAATTTGCTTGCAAGCAAACCTTCAGTCCTAAAGGAGGCAGAGCCAAAGATCTAAAGACTAGCTAGAAAGCAAGAAATCCAACCATTTCCTGCTTCCTAGCTAATCTAAATCTCCTGACACAGCAGAACAGATGATTGTCGGAAAAAGGAAAAATAGCAATTTAGCAAGCAAGTTTACTGGGTAAGGAGTGAGTGGGCGGGGAGCGTTCCTGTGGGCCATGTGGGCGCCACAGCCTTGTGTTTCTGTGCAACCTGGATTAATTGCTTTGTGGGGGTGCTCTGGGGGTGAGATTTCTCTGTGGCCCACCAAAATTTTCTCAAGGCCCACCAGTGGGCTGCGGCCCAGTGGTTGGGGACCACTGGTTTAGCTGATTAGAATATTAATCACAGGATGCATAATTAGAAACTTGCTCACGCTTGTGTATTTCATCACACAGTCAAGGATTTGTCTGTTTTCACCTTCATAATTAAAATGAAATCCGAAAGCAACCCTTGTGAAGTGACTTGTGTTAACCCGTTCAACAGTATAATCTATCATATTGATTTATTTAAACATTTATATAGTCACCCATCTTCTAAAAAAACTGGGCCGCTCCCAATCAAAAGTTGAAACCACATGTATATTCCCAGAAGTATATCCCATTGAATTAAGTAAAATTTTCTTCTAACAAATACGTTAATCATGCTTCTATGGCTGCTGCCCATCTTACAGGAAGCAAGTCTAGGTGAGTGAGTAAATGAATAAAACAAATATAAAAGCCAATCATTATAAAAAATATGAAAGTCATGGTAAACATGACAAACACTATATAAGAATGTGAACTGTATGAACGTCATGGAGAGAGTAAAAAGATCAACCATAATGGAGCCATCAAAGAATGACTCTGGTTCCTTGGGACTCCCAGTTCTTGAGGAACTTCCAAAATGATAATCTAGCTCCAGGCAGGAGGAGAGGAAGAAAATGTGTAGGTTTGCTGGCTATAGAACTCTAAAACCATTAGCTTGCACTTAATAATTCTGGGTAGATTTTATTGATGTAACTATTTAAATGTATTTTTACTCTGAATATTTATCCATGTAATCATCATTGACTCCATTTCTTGATACATTTGTTGTATTTACTCTTTCTTAGATAGGACATTTACCGACCGTTCGAAGTTATGACAAATGTCCCCCAAAGCTACTTGTGACCTGGCTTTAAAGTTATAGATGCTATAGCACCCCTGCAATCATTCACCCACCCATCCTATCCCACTGAGCCCCTGCAGCCAGTCATCCTCCCAAGGCAGATCAACTGGTTGTAGCCAGCTAGAACCTGAAAGCCTCCAGCTTCTTTCTCACCTAGCAGAGACCAACTTATTTTTCCATTCTTAGCAGCTTCTGAGAGAGGCACTGGGCCCAGTATAGGATTGGCTATCTGACAGAGCCAGCCTGCAAAGCAGGTATTGTTCTTGTGAACCTGTAGAAGCTCCACAAATGTCCCAAAGATGTTTTTTTTCCCCCCAAAAGGCTGGACTTTGTTTTTCCTTGAAGATGTTTCACTTTTCATCTAAGAACCATCTTCTTGGATGAGAAGAAGCTTCATGGATGAGAAATGAAACATCTTCAAGGAAAAACAAAATCCAGTTGTCTTTTATAAAAAAGAATCTTTGGGACAACCATGCCCTGGATGACTGAGAATCTTTATAAACATTCCCCAAACAAATGGAGCTGCCTTAAACCTCCTTAATCCCCACAGTCACAGGATCAAATAAATGGAGTCCGTTCCTTCCCTTTCTCCTCCCTTCCCAATAGACAGCAAGTAGTTGCTGCTGGGTGAGAGAGGGAACAAAGGATTGTGAGACTGGCTGGGAAACTGTCATGAAACATTGAAAATGAAGATCATGTGACTGCACCAGCAACCAGTAAGCAATTACAGCTTCCCCAATTTTTAATACCTCGGGAATCATGGGTCCTAGATTTTGGATACATTATGTAAGTTAACTCATTTAAGGTACCATGTTTCAAAAATAGTTGCTCTATGGTGCATCATTTCGCCCAAGTTCATAACAAGAGTTTTAGTAACATATAGATAAGCTGATGGTAATATATTAATGTGTTTAATCCTGTGTTTAATCACTTTCAAAACTGTGGCTGAGCAAGAGTCATATTAATATTTTTTCTGAAACACAGATTTTATATGTATAAGGTTGAATCTGCTTAGCATTGTTTTTAATATGGATCAGAGCATCAATTATAGGACTGATTAGTTTATACTAGACTAGCCTTCAGCTATATTGCAAAAATGCTAAATGTTTAGATTATAGGTGTATCTAAAAGAAGCAGTGTTTTATTATATATGGGGATTTTTTTCTCTTTCAGAATCCAAATCATCAACCAGAACCTATTTTATCACTGAGTTTGCCTGAACTCTGTCAGCAACTTGGGGATGGTTCACTCACACCTGAGAGTGTTTTCTACACCTATGTGGATAAGGTGAGGCATCATTCCCTAAGCTAACAAAAATGAGAAATATGTGTAGGGTAGGATTATTATGATTCAAGCTGAATTTTTCCTGAGGATCCATAAACATTTTTTTTTAGATTTGAAAATTGTTTTAAGAATCTGCATTTTTCTTGTGGGTCATATATTCCTATGGCATCTTCTTTCCTGTTGCTGTTATAAGAGTCTCAATAGTGTTAGCAAATTTCATCTCTCTTAAAGCATTTTGTCAGTGTAGCAAGAAACTTCATAAACAGATTCTCCAGCTAATTATTCAGAAAAAAAAACCACCCATTGAGTTCAGCCGTTAATACTCCAAGGTAGGTGTATATAGTTTGATTCCCCAAAAAGCCAATATCAGATAATCTTTTCAAGTCTTAAATCTATGAATCGAGAAATAATTTGATAATAAATACATAGAAGTGAAATGTCTAGTAAGGAAGAACAAATTGGCCTATACCAGAAATAGATCCAAAGAAGCAATACCTACCTGTCCTTCAACTGAGTGAAAATTGATTTTAGTGTTTAGTATTTATTTAGTATTTGAGACCAACAGGAAAACCTAGGGCTGTAAGCTAGTTTGGCAAGTTGAAAAAATACCCTAGAACACGGATATCAAACTCAATTTCATTGAGGGCTGCATCCAGGTTTTGTTTGACATTGGGGAGGGCTGGGAGGAGCATGGCCTGCTCAACATCACCACTTGTGTTGGCCTGAGCGTTCTGCCAGAGAAAACGGGCTCCCAAGCTCCATTTTCAGCTGTGACGGCCTCCTGCAACCCTCTGCCAGCGAAAACTGAGCGCAGGAGGGCTGCTTCCTAAGTTCCATTTTCTCTGGCAAATGCATGGCGGGTTGGCCCTTCTCTGTTTCCAGGGCAGCCCCACGGGCCAGATCTAAGCACCCTGTGGACTGGATCCGGACCCCGGGCCTTGTGTTTGACACCCGTGCCCTAGAAGAAGACAGTAGTAATATTCCATATTGTTACCAAAACCAGCTATTAAGCACTAAGAGCTCACTCTGATTCAAGGAGTCATTCAGTCAATTTTTCCTCAGCCTCTTGACCAAAAGAGAGAAGTGTGAAGCAAGAATCATAGTCTTTATTTATTTATTTTTACCCTCTGGGACTGATATATATCTGCTGGGTTAAAAGTTTTACCCAGGAATATTCAGAACCTACTTAGCTTCTACATTGGGGCTGTCTCCATCCAGTCTTACCATTTATTTGTTTGCTTGTTTGTTTGTTTATTGAATTTATATTGCCACCTATTCACCCATGGCGAATAGATCTTTAGATATGAGAATTGACATTGAACAATAATTCCCATGTAGAAGAGATTTAGTTATCTTTTTGAGAAAAATAAAAGGGTAATACCACTCGTAGGAGAAAATAATGAGGTAAAGGAAGCAATTATTTTTAGACATGAGGTAGTTTAGTAGACTAAATAGGCTTGCCTTCAAGTTTCCATTTTTTTTCCTCCTCTTTGCAAAGGCAGGCTTTACAGGAGAAATAAAGAGACTGTCTTTCCCTGCTTTTTCTAGGCCCTGAAAGTGACTGCAGATGTCAATTGCATAACTGATTACATAGCAGAGAATGAATCCCAGCTTTGGCATATGAACAGCGAAGGGAAAAAAGGCTTGCTCTATGGAGTTCCCATCAGCATAAAGGATTCCATTAACTGCAAGGTATAGCTGGGGTGGGCCTTGGGTGAGTATGCAGAGCTCTTGTGTGGCTAAAAAACAGGTGGATGTGCAACTTGTATTACATTATATAATAAAGAGCATCTTGGCTTTGGGTTTGAATTGCTTCTAGCAGGTGCCTATACATTACAAGTGTCAAACATGCTGTCTCATGTTGCCATCAAGTGACATATCGCAATGTTTTTTCCCCTCACAGAGCTGGGGTTTGCGTGGCCCACATGTGATGTGTCTGGCCCACCGGGCCGCCAGTTTGACACTCCTGGTATACATGTTAGTTAATATGAGATCATCTTTTCATCTGCCTGTATCTAATAGCTCAAGTCACTTAATGCTGAACCCTGCTCTCTTTTACAAAATCTTTATTTTATTTATTTATTCGGTACATTTTTATGTTGCCCATTTCTCCTCTAAGGTGACTGTGTCCAGTTTAAACCCTTTGTAACAAGGCCTGGAGTAGGGTGATATGTGGGCCTGCACACTGTAATGCACAAGTTTTTTTTTATTCCAATTGTTGGTTTCTTGTATGGCTTTGGAGGGGCGGATTTAAATTTGTGAGTGTTACCTTGAAGGTTTAGGTAGATTTTAAGTCAAATAAATAAGCAAAAATCCATGTTGTGTGGGAAACCAGCTGTATCTTAAAAATGTACAGGAAAATGTGTTTAGATCTGTGATAACCAAAATAAAATTTATCCTATGCTAAGGCATATTTCACAGCAATCTTAACAGTGATTGTTGTCTGCTAAAACAAAGTTATCTGATACCAACTGTGTTACCATATTGTATTACATAAAGTTTTGCTTAATTGGGGTTTTTAAAAAAAAATAGATTTATTTTTTTTAAAAAAGCATTAAAATACAAATTAATATAAAAGGGGAGATAATAGAACAAGTTAAAAATAACAAAAATCCATAAAGCAAATATATAACATAAGTGACCTCTTGACTTTTTCCAGTAAAGAAATAATAATACAATAGCCCCTCTCTGATGAATAATACCAATACTTAAATGGCTTATAAAATTAATATTCAACATACAAAAAATACAATAGTCATAATATATTCTTCACTTAATTTTTTTCTAACTTATAATAAACTGACAAATATGAATAAAATTAAGAATTCTCAACATTTTTCTAGTCAAATGAAATCTTGTCCTCAAAACCCAAGGTCAAAATCTGATTTTTCTCCTTGTCTTGTAAGAAATCTAACAGTGGCCTCCAAGTTGCAAGAAAGTTAGTCAAGTTATTTTTCCTAATTAAAGAAGTCAAGTTCTCAATCTAGCTAGTTCCATTAATTTCAAAGACTAATCTTCAATTGTGGGTATGTGTTTCTCTTTCCACTTTTGTATAGCGGCCTTGCAGCCAATGTCATATGTTAGAACAAAGCCCCATGTTTTCTCCCTGCCCTCCACCATGCTGTTTATCTGCCATCCCTAAAAGCTTGTGGTTTCACGAAATGGGTAGAGACATATAATTTAAATTGGAAGCCATGGTTTAAAAAAACCACAGTGTCTTGCATCATATAACCCTATCACATCAAAACCAAATTGGCTCAACATGATGTTGTAAATTCAGTTATGGTATACTGTTAATTGATCTAGTTTCCTCTGGGCAGTTCTTTTGCTGTTCAGGATTTGAGGGAGGAATTTTCTATCAAGAATTTATCCTTAGACCTTCTGTATAATAATAATCTTAAATGTTCCACAGGGGAACTAATAAATATATTACCAATTTGTTGCTGTTTTTTAACATCTTAAACCCAGCATCACTGAATGATATATGATGTTTCTATGGGGAACTCAAATTTCCTTTTCATCTTTCTATCGTTTTTCCTCACCACAGGGCTATGACAGTACTTTGGGCTTTGCAAAGCGTCTCTTCCAGCCAGCAGCAGAAGACGCTGTTATAGTGCAGGTGTTGAAACATCAAGGAGCAATTCCATTTGTAAAAACAAATATTCCCCAATCGCTGTTGAAGTAAATCATGTATTATTATCATTATTTTGCCAATGTTTTTTGTTTTGGTTTTTATATACAGGTTATCCTTGACTTAAGACTATTGATTCAAGCAATCATTTGAATTTACAGAGGCACTGAAGGAAGGGGTTTCCCACTAAGAAAATCATTTGAAGTTACAGCTGTTGCTGTGCTCTTGTGGTCTTGTAATCAAAGTTCAGGCATTTGGCAGCTCACCTGCATTTACAGTTCCAGGAGTTTCAACTCTTTCTCACCTTCCCTGTCTTCCCCCTCCCTTTTGGGCTCCTGACCCCCTGGCTGACCTTTGCCATCTTCTTTCTCTGCTGGTAACTAAGTAAGCTGCCACATATGCTCCTGGGTTTGGCTTATGGTCACTCACTCACACAGTCCTGATCATCAGCTATATTCAAGTCACGTTCATACATGAGCATTGAAGCACAACAGGTTATTTGGAATACAGTGAGACCCAGTGAATTTAAAATAAGAGTAAAACTTCCTTAGTAGCAATATGTTTGCCCTTTCTCTCTCATGCAGTCCTACACAGCTACCCCTACCCCTACCCATGTCCTTCTCAACTAGGTTGCCGGGCACTAGCTGGAGGGATGGAAGCCACCAAATCTTGGATCCAAAGGCAAAGAGTGGGTGGGCTTCAGGGCCACCTTTGTCCCCATAAGTCCTTGCTTTGTTGATTCACAAATTGGCAGCTACTTTTGCCTTGCCAGCTTACAAGCCTGGTACCTGTTGATGGCACTTGGGCTCAGGGGAGAGGAGCATTTCCATGTAGTGAGGCTCAACTTGTTTTGCCTGGTTCAGGTGATATTCTTTTATTACCTTATAACAATTTCATTCTTTCTTGTCCATCTCCCAAAGAGATCTTTTGGACAAGATTCCTGGCTTATTGTCCACCCTTGCTTCACCTTTAGATAAGACAGCTTCAGCCTCATCTTACATATTCCTCCCCTAGGCATCCCCTAGACAGAAGATGCCACAAAATGAGGTTGGGATGAATACATCTCTAGCCTGTAAATTCTCCCATCTCTTTTTAAAACTGGCCAGAGGGGACTATTAAAACAGCTTAAGTTGCTAGTAATCTCTGCGATCCCTGTTTCAGTAGTCTTTGGAAATGGGTATTATTTCTGTGGGCTTCCAGGGGGCCTGTACACTAATATGGGGTTCCACATTGGTTGTGATGGGCTTGAGTCCTGCCAGTCAGAGATCTGTGAGTCGGACAGGTCTGCAGTGGAGATTTGCTTACCTAAAGAAAAACATTTAATAAGAGAAATTTCAGCTCCAGTATCCAACAGTTTGCTTAGCATCATTGTGGGTTAAAACAAAATGGGAGAATTTCAATATTCCTGTCCACCCTCATATTTTCAGTCAAGACCCATGCATTTACCAAAGCAGGGGGACATCTCTAGAAATTGACTAAAGGGGTGTGTGTCTGAGCTTACATTTTCTTTTTTTCGCCCTTTACTGCTGGGACTCACTTTCTTTAAAGGTTCTGTTAATTGTTTCAGTTCATGTGGACCAATGAAAAAAGCTGCTTGTTCTCCTGAACTTTCTTGTCATTTTCATCTTCTGATCCATGCCTTCCTCATTGAGGTCTTTTTAATGCCTCCACTTGCTTCTTCAAATTCCTAGTAGAATCCCCATCCCATCTCTCCATATTTTCTCCTTAATCTCTCGGCTTTTATCACATTTGTACATGCACCATCTCTGTTCTCAACGTTTTGCTCTGGTTGCTTCAAAAATTCCCATTTCTGCGGTCTACCCCTCTCCTTTCCCACCTGTTTTTTTTATACTCCTTCCTCCCCTGCAATTTTTATTTTTATCCTCAACACTCCCAACCGCTTTCTTTGCTTCTCACAAATCTGTTTCCAAAGAGGCTATGGCTAATGGGTAAGCTGCATTCAATTGTTCAAGGCGCTGCAGTCCACCTAGCACACATTTTAAAGATTGATTGCATGTTTGCACTTCTTGCACTGAAATGGAGGCCCTTGGTGGTGATAAAACAAGGACAAAGCAAATAGGTATGACTGGCGGTGCATAAATTTGTTTCTCATCAACTGACTAGACTGTACCGTATGATACTGAAGTGGGTGATTCAAATTGACCAAAGGACTGTTATTTTTACCCAGATAATAGTACCCCTTATCTCTACCATCATCCCTTTGGGCAGCACTGTGTAAGTGATCATTGTTAAAGCTTAAGGAAGCATATTTTTTTTAATAGTAGAAGTAGAAGAGTTGAACTTGACCAAGTCTTTACAATGCTGTTCAGGACTTAATAGTTGCTCATGATAATGACCATTTCCTCTTCATAATTCAAGAAATGTGTTTTTTTTTTAAATGATTGTGAGAAAAAAAACGGGAAAAATATCCTTATTAAGAAGCAAAGTGTAAATACCATTGTTTCAGATTAAGATTAAGCAAGGGATACAGTATAATTTTGTAAAAAGACTAATTGAATCATGTACTTAAATCACTACCTGGAAGAACTATTAGGAAAATATTTGGAACTATTCCAAAACGATTTGCTGACAATATTCTTTATCTTTTCAGTTATGACTGCAGTAATCCAATCTTTGGGTCAACAGTGAATCCTTTGAATCCCACTAAAAGCCCTGGTGGATCGTCAGGAGGGGAAGGAGCTCTTATTAAAAGTGGAGGATCCATTCTGGGCATTGGGACAGATATAGCAGGCAGCATTCGTATCCCAAGTGCCTTTTGCGGAATTTGTGGTTTAAAAACCACTAGCAACAGAATTAGGTGGTGTACAAACCCTAATCCTTAAAATACAGAGTTTAAAATATGTGGGTTATTTCTCTCAGATTCCTGATCTGATTATACCTATATATCAAGAGTTGCCAAGAATGGGAGAACTAATAATTAATTCAAACAGCAAACATTAATCAATCAGATCACAGACTAGGTAAAATCTTGTTCATTCAACCTTTGTTGAATTGCTTTTTACATCTGCAATCTTATGTCCACTTCAACTGAATTCTGTTTAACATCTGTTTTACCCTGCTGTACCCTAAGCAAAATGTTGTGAATTTGAAATGTTTATCGGTTATGTTTTAATTAGTGAGGTAAGTCTAAGGTCTATTGCTATTGCTAGTCTAATAGGCTTGGTTGGAAACCTGGCTATTTCAGTTCGTATGAACTAACCCTGTTCAACTGGGTAAACCAGAAACGTTCTCAACATGTCATCTGTGTTAAGTGCTGAAATGAGTTCCACTTTAGAATGTAAAGAAAGAGGAATTGATATTGAAAATTGGGAATCTTGACAACTTTGCTAAAACTACTCTTTTAATGTTTCTCTAGCAAAAAAGGAATTGTTCCATCCGTGGCTGGTCAGAAAGGAGGTAAGATACCATTATTGATTAGATAAATGGGAAGTTTGTTTCAAGTGGAAAAGTTATTCTTTGACATTCTTGTTCTCTTCAAAAAACAGTTTCATCAATTTACAAAGTAAATTACAGTACAGCTGGCAGTTTTTCAAAAAGTATGAACTCAGCTTAATGACTTAATGCCAGTAACAACCATGCTCTATTACCTGAATGTTTTATTGTCGTTTATTCTTTTAAAAGAAAAAGTTTTTGAAACTAGCAATGGGGTATTGTAACAAGAACTTACCGGAAAAGGATTTGAGAATGTAGCTACGGTAGTTGTTTCCTAGTCTAGGGACATGATGGCGAACCTATGGCACATGTGCTGGAAATGGCATGTACAGCCATTTCTGCCAGCGTGCAAGAGGTCGCCCGGAAGACCCCCACTGTGCATGTACGTGGACCCTCCCACCGCTAGCCAGGTGATTATCGGGTATCTGCCGTGCATGCGTGGGAAAGACGCACATGCATGCGCAGAGGCGTGCAGTGTGGGGATGTGCACGCATGCGTAGAGGGGGTGGGGGGGGGTTGCGTGCACATGGGTGGGATTCAAATTTTAACTGGTTCTGTGGGTGTGGCTTAGATGGTGGGCGTGGCTTGGTGGTCATGTGACTGGGTGGACATGGCTTGGTGGTCATGTTATTGGCTGGGTGTGGCCAACTCAATAATCACATCGAGGCACGCATCTCCTGGCCTGGCCTCTCATGACTGTAGGGATGCTGCAACAGTCGTAAGTGTGAAAAACGGTCATAAGTCACTTTTTTCAGGTCCATTGTAACTTTGAATGGTCACTCCACACAAGCAAAGTACCAGCAAATGAGGGAAAGAAAACTCCAGAGAGGTTCCTGAGACAGGAAGTCTAGCCCTGCCAAGAACGTAATAAGGGTTAACGGAGGGGCAGTTTCTGTAAGCAATACCAGAATGTTTCCTTCCTGCCTTCCTTACAGGATTAGGCCAATAATTTCTTCTAACAACCGGTTCTCCGAACTGCTTAGAATGTTAACCACTGGTTCTAGTGAATAGGTGTGAACTGGTAGAATCCCACCCCTGCGTGCGCACATTGCGTCATGGATGCAGGCACACGAGCGCGCTTTTGGCACGCAACATGGAAAAGGTTAGCCATCACTGGTCCAGGGTATTTTTTTTTATTTAATTGATTTATATGGCTGCCCAACTTGCAAATTGTGACTTCTGGATGACTAACAAAGGATTACAGGGAAGTCCTTAACTAGTGACCATAATTGAGACCCAAATTTTGGTCATAAGTCATTCTAGTCACAGGTTAAACCCACTCCATGGCAAGATTTGATTTTATGACAGTCAATAAGTGAGTCACTGGTTGTTGTGGTGGACCATTCACTTAATTGCAATGATATGCTTAACTGTGGCAAAAAGGTCGTAAAATGGGGCAAAACTCTCTTAACAACTGCCTTGCTTAGCAATGGAAATTTGGGGCTCAGTTGAGAACCACTTGTATCATCAGTGTGTTGATGAGACTAGATGACCCTTAATTCCCTGCCGGTAGATGATCTCATCCAGAAAGCTTCATGAAGTCAGGATTTGTGGCTAGATCTGTCCCATCCTGACGACAACTGGAATTGGATCTGGAGAAAGGAGGGGAACCACTACAACTCTGGGTATCCTCCACTCCCAGCCCTCAAAGTTGTTCTAAAAGGATACCATGATCAAAGCCATCGAGAGATCAAGGTTTCCTGGTCTGCTCCAGAGATAATATAGAAGTGTGATCAATGATGCTGGTTTAATGGTTCTTTATTCATGTCAGAAGTACCTACAAATTCGAGACATGTAACATTCAACGCTCTGCAAATAAAATAGGTATACAATAGGTCATAGGAATGAAGCACATGTAAAAAGTAAGTCGAATAAATAGAATTAAAACTGAATGACATTTGTCCAGTATTGGGCCACGTCGACAGCATTTTCTCTCGCCAGCCTGAGATCTTCATAACTGTTGAGGGATATCAAATGTACCATAGCATATGTGAGATTGGATTATTCTACTGTATGTGGAATTGACCTTGGGAGACAGGAGAAAGAGCCGTATGCTAGGCAGCGGTTTTCTGATACTATTGTATTGAAAAGTTGCTCTTATGGTGTTATGAAGAGTTCAAATGGAGAAGAGAGGTCATCCATTCTGAAAAATAGGGAATGAGTTGGCTCTTGAGGAGTTAATCACTTTTTGGTTGAAACTTTCCTCTCAGAATTTCCTGACTTATAACAGGCTACTCTTTAAATGCCTTCTGTTTACTTGTTTATTTCTTTCAGCTTTTGTTGGCTTGGGACCAATGGCACGGGATGTTGACAGCCTTGCTCTTTGCCTAAAAGCTGTCTTGTGCAAGAAAATGTTCCAACTGGATCCCACGGTGCCACCTCTTTCTTTCAACGAGCAAGTAAGATCATGCACAGAATTTCAAACCAAGAAGAACAGGTTTTGTGAAGAAATCATGGGTGTCCTTGCCACAACCACTGCCACCCCCTTAAAGAAGCTGTGGCTTTGCCTGGGCTCCTGTGGTAATGGCATCACCTCAGAAAAATAACCCACATATGAATTAAAGGGCTGACCAGACAGCTCCCTGAACAACATTATGAGAAAAAGGTATCATCGAGAAAAGGCCTCCATTTTGCCTTTCGGAATCTACTAACAACATGGGCTGTTTCCACGTATAAGCCAGAGGTCTCCAAGCTTGGCAACTTTAAGACTTGTGGACTTCAACTCCCAGAATTCTCCAGCCAGCTATGAAGTTGAAGTCCACAAGTCTTAAAGTTGCCAAGTTTGGGGACTCCAGGTATAAGCAGATCTCCAGAAAATGAACATCAAGCCATTTTACTTGTGATTGATAGTAGAAATTATATATAAACACTGAGGAATGAAGACTGCTCTCCTTTTTGCATTTCATTGAGAGAAGTGATTATTTTAAAATAAATAAGCATTAGTAACACTTGGGAAAGAAACCAGGTAGAAAGAGACATCAAGTAGGCTATACACAGGCTAAGTGTACAGCTTGTCCTTGACTTACAATCTGTTGCTTCAAAACCATTCAGAATTACAATGGACCCCCAAATAGCACTTGTGACTGAGTGGCAGCCTTCCTCCCCCTCCCATGCTCACGTATTTTCATTTTGTTTGCTTGGCCCATATTTACTGTGTGGTCATTTTGAGTGTCCCGCAGTCACATGATTACAGTTTACAATTATCTATCTATCTATCTATCTCTATCTATCTATCTATCTATCTATCTATCTATCTATCTATCTGTTTCTGGAACTCGACATTACTTCCAGCAAATTGGATTCTCTTCACCAACAACTGCAAAAGAAAAATGCTAAAAATTGAGTGCGGTCACATGATGACTCGCTTAACAACCAGTATATGATTAAGACCATAATTCCGAGCTCAATTATCATTGTATGTTGAGGATTATCTCTCAAAATTCAATCCAGCCTGTCCCTTTTGTCTCTCAGCTTCAGGAAAATAATAGTGAACTGCATCATCTCTCAGCTGCGAAAACACGCTATATGTTTGCCCACAGGGAAAAGGATATTTAAAGGGCTATTTTGTTTTTTTGTTTTCCCTTTAGAACCTGTGTTAGTGTGCTCAGGCACTGATGTCCTGGGAAAACATTTCATGATTTGGTCCTGTGCTTCAGAACTGTTGGCTAAAGAAATTTATTGGCTTAAGCACCCTTGGCTGCTAACCTCTGGAGTTAAGCCAGTGGACTATATTTTTACCAGCAGATAAAGAACTTGAGTGATTGAGAAATGGATGTTCCTGTAGCTAATCTAGTGCTCATTTATTTATCCAGTGTGGTATCCTGCTTTTAAGGCATCTACTACCGTATGATTAATTATTTGGAAAATTTCTCTTGTTCTTCTGTTGCTCTAGGTTTATACCAGCTCTGGTCCCCTCAGAATAGGGTATCATGTGACTAATTCCTATAGTATGCCAAGCCCTTCCATGACACGAGCTGTGCTGGAAACCAAGGAGCTTCTGGAAATGAATGGCCATGTGGTATGTATACTTATTAGGGGAAAGGCAGATATATGTCGTACCAAGGGGTTGTCTATTTCAGAAGGCAACATCAGTAGGTATAAGAGATTTATGTGGAGGGTGCAACAGTCGAGAAAAAGACAACAAAACTCCACCTAAGTTTAAATCTGGGCTTTCCCTCCCTCCCTACTAAGTCCACTGCACTACCTGTTGCCAATAAAGGCTGGAGTTTCATGCCAAAAGCAGCTGGGCTGATTTTGCTTTTTAGAATTTAATTACTGTATTCTGGATCACTTTGCCTTCATCCCTGTAATTTGCTTATTAATTAATTATTATGCTAGTTTTGGTGTCCACCACACAAGAGTTTTTAAAAATTGATTGGATTTGCTTAATGCAGGAGAGCCTTTATATTAGGGATGGCCCTCAGACTGGTAGTTAGTTACACAAGACTGCCATTTGTATTGACTTTTAGTAGAGTTGTGTGAGCCTTTTCCCAAGTGTAACATTGAATCACATGCAAATGAATGCATTTTTATCATTTTGTTAATTTAGAGCAATGTTTTTGAACTTGGCAACTTTAAGAGGCATAGAACAACTCCCATTGTTAGAATGCTAGGGAATCTTAAAATAGCCAAGTTTGAAAAAAAACATTGATTTAGAGAATTGGATTTTTTTTTCCTTAGTCATGTTTCTGGTTATAGATACCTTATTTTTTGGAATATAAGATGCACTTTTCCCCCCTAAAAGAGGATGAAAATTTGGGTGCATCTTATATACCAAATATAGTCCCACCCACTAGGCCCAAAATGCGAGGCACAGAGGCCAAAAACATGAGGCATGGAGGCGGCGATGATCTATGGCAATCCCTGGAGGTCAATCCACCCGCCAATCAGCTGCTTCTGTGAATCAGGCTGCAATAATAGGTTGAAGCTGACCTGGCTGTTTGCTATTTGCTGCAAGGACATGTCAGAGTTTGCAGCAGCAATCACATCCAGAAAGCACACACAAGTAACTGATTCAGCAGGATTTAATAACTTCTCTTTATATATAACACATGAAGTAAATATACAATACCAAAAGCAAAACACAAGCAGAGGAGAGGAGTTTCAGTTTTAGTTTCAGAGCAGCATGCAGCTTTAATACAGAACAGTTAAGCTAAGCCAGACAGGCTCCGTGCTGTCTCCTTGCTCACACAGCAAATACTGTTTCAGTTTCCAAACAGCCTTCAACTCTCACACTGACAGGACGCTAGCCAGATGAATACCAATGGATGCTGGTAGGCAGAGGCAGAATTTTTTTCCCCTTTATTTTCCTCCTCTAAAACTGAGGTGCATCTTATACTCCAGAGCATTTTATACTCTGAAAAATATGGTATTTCCCCCATTATTTTTATTGTAAATGTTCTTTCATTTCTTTTTAGTTGGTCCCCTTTGAACCGCTTCACATGGCCCATTTTATGAGCCACTTAGTTACTGGATCACTTTTTGGTGATGCTGGTGCCACTTTACTGCAGTCTTTGTAAGTATTGCATTTTCTATAGTCTGAAGTGTTTATGTGAGGAAATAAGAGAAGTAGAAGGCTTATTTTGTGGATGTGATCCCCCTCTCCTTTTTTCTCTTCTGTTTCCAATTATTTTTGATAGGTGGAGAAACAGGGCTTTAATTTCTGTAATGCTGAAAGCTGCTATGAATGAAACATTTGGGAGTAGTGAATTTCAGCTGCTTGAATATTCTCACTCACACACACACACCCTGTTTCAAACACAACAACATCCCTAACTCTGCTGGAAGCTTTATTTTTATTATAGATCTAAGATACTACAGGCCTCACTTAGTGACCACAATTGTAACTGGCAATTCCATCACTAAGTGCCACCATTGCTAAATGGAAAAATCACATTACCGTGATGAGCGTATGATGTCTCTTTGCATTTGTTACACGGCAGTCATTGAGGGAGACATCATGTGATGTTGACTTGCAATTTTACTCCTGCTTTATCTATTAATTCTGCTTGTTGCAAGCCAGTTGTACATCAGTGAATGATGATTACAAAGAGCGTCTGTCCCTGCAATGATAGTAACTGCAAAGAGTGTTCAAAGAGTGGGTTTTTTTTTCACTCTTGTAACTTCAAACAATTGCTATACCAGGCAATTGGTAAATGATGCCTGCCTGCCTGCCTGTATGTATGGATTTAGGTGAAGGGGTGTAAATATATAAATATACAGCTTTCTGCAGTAATACAGACACAATAGCATTCTACAGTGTTTAAATAGAGAAAATTCAGTTTCAAATCTCCATTTAATCTTAAATTTCAATATTTAGTGCCTCTAGTCCCAATATTCCAGGATTGTTGTCAGGTTAAAATTAAAATCTGGGCACAAGATACATAAATGTCATACAAGAATTCAAAGTAATGTATCAGGGCAACACATCAATGTAGGCGAGAGATTTAAATTGGGCAATGAAATCTCAAATGGAATATTGTTGCCAGTATAAGAGAAAAGTATGCACAAATCTGAATGAATGCCAGAATATGGATGCCTAGCGAGAAGAGTACAGTAGGTGGAAGTCTTTGGCAACATTTTATTTATTTATTAGATACATGCAAGTGGTCCTCAACTTACAACCTCTCGTTTAGTGGCTGTTTGAAGTTACAATGGCACTGAAAATAAATGACTAGTGACCATTTTTCAAACTTAGAATTGAATTGAATTGAATTGAATTCTTTTTTGGCCAAGTGTGATTGGACACACAAGGAATTTGTCTTGGTGTAAATACTCTCAGTACACATAAAAGAAAAGATACATTCATCAGGTGTCGAGAATCATAAGGTACGACACTTAATGATAGTCATAGGATCCAAAAAGCAATCCATCAATCATACAAGGAAAGTATGCAACCTTTGCAGTGTCCCTGTAGTCACATGATCAACATTTGGACACTTGGCAGCTGGCATGTGTTTATCACAATTGCAGTGTCCTGTGGCCATCTGATCACCTTTTGCAACCTTCTGTCAAAAAAAGTCGGGAGAAAAGCCAGATTCACTGAACAACCATATTACTAACTTAACCACTGCAGCAAGAAAGGTAGTAAAATAACGCAAAATTCATGTAACTGTCTTGCTTAGCAGTGTCAATTTTGGGCTTAGTTGTGGCCGTAAGTCAAGGACTACCTGAATACCACTTCTCTTCCAAGTGTCCAAGGTGACATATACAGTGCTCCTCCCGCATTCTGCTGCCCAACAACAGTCCTGTGAGATACGTTGGGCTGAGCAAGAGTGATTGGTCCCTATTTGAGCCCGTGAGCTTCTGTGGCTCAAAGTGAATCCACCCAGAATCTGGATCTTTTCCCAGGCCAACTATTACATCAGTTTTTAGAATGCGCCTTTTAAAAGTAGAATGACATGAAACCAGTAAGAAGTATGAGTCTTTAATTAATTTCAGTGTGTGACAGCTTTATGTGGTTTGTAATTGAAGTCAATTTTTTAGCTGGGGTTGGAAGATAATTGCAATTTTTGGTGGGGAAATGGATCCTGGGAGCTGCTAAAATTAACAGTGAGCTAATTTAAATGTCTATCTTGCATAGAAAAATGGAAATATAGTTATTATGATTAATGTACAGAAGTGAAAACATTGTTGAAGAATGATTGGATAGGGTTTCTTTCTGTAGAAAAGGCTTGCCCTTGTTATCTCTCTAAAATTATTTGGAGAGCACCACCAAACATGTTGATTGGGTATTTAATAGAGATTGGATGGATTTACACATCATTTTAACCCATAATATATAATAGTTTGCTTGATTTTGGGTTAGTGTGATAGATGAACTGAGCTGCTGTAACTTATATTTATACTAGGATCTGACAGAACAGTAGGATATTATGATTGATAAAAGTGCTTCGTTGAAAACCGTTCAGGAAATTTAGGGGTAATGAAATAAGAGGTCCTTCTATAAATGAGTAATTGGTTAAAAATAGTTTAGGATGAAGGTTAGAATAAATGGATAGCTTTCACAATGGAAAGAAGTAAGATTCAACATAAATTCCACTTCTACCAAGCACACAGATTATGATCATGAGATTGCAGGGTGACAGTGCAACATTTTGTGATTGCTGGAAGAGCTTTATTGACCCTAAAGCACCCTTTTCAAAACCATTTGTAATTCCAGACTGTTGTTAAACAAACAGTTTTGACTCAAGGACTACCTATACGTCTGATTTAGTAGGATTTTTCTCTTAGTTTTTACAGATTAATCAGAATTGTTAATCAGAACATGGCAAACAGACACGCCAGTAGTGATAGCTGATGCTTGAAGTTTGAATATAACTTCCATTTTGAAAATTATCGTAGCATTTTATGTATGTGCTTTGATTGTCTGGGTTGCCTTTTAGTGAAGACGAACCTGTAGATCCATATCTAAGGATTACCATGCTGTTACTAAAGATTCCTTATTGGATGCGAAGAGTCCTATCCTGGATTATAAGACCAAACGTAAGTAATATCTCTTACTATCTTTTTTTTTTATCTGGAACGGGGTTTCCCAACCAATATTCAGTTATCTGTGCCTGTGTTATTGGTGTGTTCTAATGTAACATGGCACTCTCGCACAAAATTCCTATAACTTTCACTCCCTCAAACATTTCATCCCTATTAGTAAGAATTAAGTCCGGTATAGCTGATCCACTAGTTCCCTGCTCCACATTTTGGATGACAGAGTTGTCAACTAGTCACATCAGGGGTCAGCAACCATAAACACACAAAGAGCCACAAAGGTCCTAACTGGAAGCTCCTTGTTCAGTTCTGGAACTGACCAGACTGAGCCCATATCTTCCAAATGGGTTGGGACTGTTGTTCTCCAGCCAGGGAAGCCTCAAGAAGTAAATTTTGCTTCTTGGGCTAGTTGTGTTTCATTCTAAATTTTTGGTAAAGTATAATATTGAAAAGTCTGTACCACTTATTTTTACATCAAACCCCAAAATGGCATTTTCCATTTATTTTTCCTTAGAGTATTCGTCAGTCAAGAGCTTTGAGCAACTTGAAAGAAAGGTAAATATTTTTGGTGGGAGATTAAGGCCTTCATCTCTTAATATTGCCTTTGTAATAAACAGGTTGATTTTTTGCTACCTGATTTTATAGTTCCTGTTTGGATGAAATTAGTGATCAATATGCTTTTAACCAAGCAGAAATGATTACATCTGAAGTAAGATTTTCCAGCAGTAGTTTGAAACAAGGATCTATGAGTTGAGTTTTGCATGTGATCCCAAAGAACTACAGTAATAACGGTAGAGTACCAGTGTTGGAGACTATGTATGTGCAGAACTAGTTAGAATGGATTGCTCCCATCTATCCCAAAATTCAAACTACATTTAATTTCTTAAATCTTGTAAAGGGGGTGTTACAGAATAACATTATTTTGAATCTATTGTTTAGCACTTGGAACATGAAAAATCATGCAGGAGTGCACATTTTACTAACCCTGCTTTTTCAGTAGTTTTCTGTGTATTCGTTTTAATTATGCTCTGCTATAGTGAATACTAGTAACATGTTCTTAAAATTATAAAGACTCCATAATATACTGTTTTAATTGTGCTTTATTAAATTTCTACAAAGAATCACACACACACACACACACACACACACACACACAATTAGAAATAAAATAGGGAGGGGCAAAGTACAAAGGATAAAGAAAAAAGGAAGAGAAAGAAAATAAAAATAGAATAGCTTTCTTCAATACAGTTACAAATATAAAATTAATTAATTTTTTGATTTTAAATTCAGTAAAGCACTATATAATTTCCATAAACAATTCTAATTATCAAATCCCAAAATTAATATAGCATTTATTTCACTCTCAAGCAAAAAGTCCAAAAGTTGTTTCCATGTGGAAACAAAGCTAGACAAAGTCTTTTCTTTACTCAATCTAGTTAGTTTTGCCATCATCCAATTCCATTAATTTTACCACCCATAATAAACTGTTGAAGCCAACAATTCTAGTCAGCACCTGTTTTGGATCAGATGCATGGTTCCTTTGACATTCCCTAAAATGTTTTTTTTTTTAACTTTCATATATTTTTCGGAATATTGTCTCTTTCAAATACCATCCTTTTGACTTTATAGGCTAAATATGGGCTGAAGGAGAGCATTGTGGGTTGGGAATATTGCTTAATTCATTCTTAGTATGACTTTTTCCAGTCATTCCCCTTCTAATTTCAAGTTACAGGAGGAACTGATTATGGCTAATAATAAAAAAAAATTACACACACACACAGAAGATTTATGTTTACCAGAAGAGATTTTTTTAAATTACATTTTCTTTCTAATGATGCTTTTTACAAATATTTCTTGATCTCCTTATTAATGATCTCAGCAACCATTGGTTTATTTTGCCAAAATTAATGTGATAACTTTACTGCCATTAATACACAAAATGTTTGTCTAGTCTTGTGCCCAGTTAGACTTTCAATTCCATTCTGCTCAGAGGAATTAAGTCAGCATAGCTGTATAGCACCAGGTTGGGGAAAGTTATTACAGGTCATGAACACAGGCAGCCGATTCCAATCATCTGCAGTTCATTTATTTTCTTTGACTTTTTAGGTCTATAAAAGAACTCTGGAAATGTCACTTGGAAATTGAGGTAAATTTTCTTTTGGAATCTTTGCAAATGGCATAAAAATCTTGTACGTGTAAATATCTTCTGAAGCATTCGAGCAAATAGCATGGTCTTTTTCAGCTTCAGACCATAGATTTAAAACATTCACTAAAAACTACTGCATAGTCGCAAAACCCAGTAAGTCTTGAGGTCATTCTTCTATAGTCTGATGCCTCCCAGTTGTGTTAGACTTCTATACCACCCCTTTCTCTCTAGCCATTGGCCATTTTTGAATAGGGGTGTTGGAAACTAAAATCCAATATATTCGGAGGATGCCAAATCCGTAAAAGATGGCCTCGTTACGAATGCTCCCTTTGTGGATATTTCAAAATGTAGAACAGCTCTGACAGTACCTATGTGGGAAACAATTCTGTCCTTTAAATAATTGTTTTAAATTGAATATCTGATGCTTGCGTACAAAGGTTTGTGGTGCCTGCAGAATATTTTTTGCAGGGCAAGAGCAGAAGCTGAAATATAAGATGGGATTGTAACTTGTCCATTTCTCATGTCCTGCTTACAGCTACACAGATTTGTCTGTTTTTCCTGTAGTTACACTGTTGCTCAATCAAATTTTCTGTGACAGAAATACAGATAGTCTTCACTTTACTACTGGGACCAGAAACTCTATCGTTAAATGGCATAGTAGTTAAGCAAAACTTCATATAGCTGTGCTGGACTTATATCATCCCTATTATGGTTGATAAGTGAATCACCACAGGTGGTTAACATGAGACATCACATGGCTGTGACTTGCAATTTCACTGCTGGCTGCCACATTGACTCTGCTTGTGTGAAATGTGAAGTGCACAAATGGGAATCATGTGTCCACAGGACACTGTGGCTGTCATAAATGCCTGCCAGTTTGCCAATTGCATAGCACCTGAAGTTTGATCGTGTGACCTTGGAGACACTGCAACAGCTATAAGTACAAGGAACTGTCATAAAATGAGACAAATAAAATAGGCAGCAATCATACAAGTAAACAAATTTTACTTTAGAATCAAAGATTTATTTCATAAGCAATTTGAACATGATTAGCTATCAATACACATAACATTACTTACATCAATAACCCATTGCAATGAGGTCCAAGGATAATAGCTAGGTCCAGCAAGGAGCAGCTACCAGTGACCCTGAGTTGAGATTTGCCCCTTTCTTTTATACCTTTTTCTGTCTTCCTTTCAGTAGTATGGAATATTACCAAGATAACTTCCCTTTTTCTGCTGATATCCTTTCCTCAGCACATTCTAACGTATACATCTGAAATGTGATGACCTGGGGCATGGCACAAAGACAACACAGTCAGATAATCAATAAGAGTCCCTTTATTATCTCCAACTTTGTCCCCAATGTCCAGGTTACCTTCTGGCTGGAGAAAAACTCTCCCAGGAACAGCCTTTGACTGCAGAAAATTAAGTCCAAAACATGGTCAACACAAACTGTAACTTAAAGTCCAATCAAGCCAAACTGAAGTAATTAGCTTGGAATGGCAGGAGCAAGAATTTCAGACTTGAAGGCACCACAAAACTCACACATTGGGAAGACACCAGGAGCACAGATAAGCAACAATAGCACAAGATAAAGTCACGTTTGCTCCCAGCAGCCTGTCTCATGCAGCCTGCCTTTCTTATAAAATGTGTTCCCAGCTGTGGCTCATGAAGTGAATCAGGGCCCTTTCCTCACCCATAAGCCACACGGCCCACATTGCTCTTTTCTCCATTCTTCCCTGCGTGCCCTAGTATGAAGAGAAGGTGGGCCTGGGTCTTCCTCTGAATTCCCTCTCCCTTGTTCTACCTCTCCCTTGTTCTACCTCTCCCCTGCTCTGCTCAGCAGGACTTTTCCCATTTCTTCCACAGCCAACGGAGCCACACTCCCACTCCCTGTCAGCTGTTCGGTTTCCTCCTTGGATTCAGACTCCGACAGGGTCATGACATAAAATCTGCCTTCTGCTACTTTCAGTTTCCCATTTCTAATGTCCCAGACACATTTGTCCAAAATAGCCTTAAAAGTGATTATGTTGCAGATATATTTTGCTAATGACAGATTACAATACTTCCTTAACATGTGAATCTTACTTAGTCAACACTTACTTAGTCAAACCGTTAGGTTTGCCATTTAAGGTTTGGCTATAAATTGAGACTTTATCATTCAAGATTTTTTTGATATAAATTGAGACTTTATCATAGTCCAGTTGTCTTTTTCCAACAGACCCAATCATAAATTTACTTTTTCAATGGGGTTGCTATTTTGCATAGTTGCTAAACAGAGCAGTCATTAGACAATCACTACTTGTACAGTTTAGCATTGTCAAGAATGTATTGGATAAATACATATTTGGTAACATATGTTTCCTAGTTGAACATTAAATCAGGAAAATATTCTTTTTTGTTGTTTTTTTAAAAAAAGCATAAAATACTATTGTATTGCAAGTCAGGCCATCTAGTAAACTCATCTCTCTGGGGTTTCACACCAAGGTTGTTTCCTTCTTTATTAAATTTAGGATTTCTTGTAGGGGAATCCGCTGATGAGTTATTGATAATACTTAAGAAGAAGGGATTCTCTACGCAGTGGCCCGGTGCAATGTGTAGGGACTGTCCTTTCACTGGGAATGGGAAGAAAAAGAGCAGCCTTTGACTCTTGAGTATTTTCAGAAGGGAAGTCTGGGTGAGGTAGGAGGTAAGGATTACATTTTAAAACAGTCTGATTCAAGAGCTGGAAGAGGAAAAATACATTCATGCTTCATTCCCAGGAGACTGGGATTCATGTTGTTCATTCATAAAATAGTTGCTCAAAGAGAATAGCAACTCCGAAGTCCACCTTTGCTGCGCTATCTGCCTTCTTGCCCCTGCTATATGCCACTGTATTTCTGGATACCAAGGTTATACATTGAAAAATAAAGATAGCTCTGATATGTAAATTGATCTCTTATCATTAGGAATATTGCAGAGAATTCACTGAACAATGGAAAAGACTGGAACTGGATGTGCTACTTTGTCCAGCTATAGGTCCTGCTTTTAAGAGCGGCTTTGCTGGGAAAATACAAGGTAATTTTAAAAATTTTTTTTGGAAAACCAAGTTTTATAAAGCATGTTGGTATTGTTTAGATCCCCATGGAGCGTCCTACTCCTATTCAACAAGATTTGAGTAAATCCTAGAACTATGATGTGCTTTGAGGTTGGGCAGAAAAATTCATGGGATAATGCGGGGGGAACAAATATGGTGCTTGTTTACTATTCTTTGAACCAAATGCACCTTTTCTATGGCTGTACTGTCCCTAGGAAAAGGGATGGCTGCTTTAAAGAGCTTGCTTTTTTTTTTAAACAAATTTTATTCAGTTTTTCACATTAAAAACAAAAATCTCTTTTTAGTGGACAACATATTACCCGGTCATCACCTTTACATACAAATATGACAGCAATTATACGTTCATATATGCATACTTAATTCTATTATTACCTTTTCCATTCCAAATTTTCAGTAAGGAGAGAAACAAATACATTAATTCTAGTCTCTTTCAATAATCTCAATTGAAACATCTTTTTGTTTCATTTCAATTATTTCAAATATAATCCTTTAATATTTATTTTAAAAATAAAGATAAAGAATATGTGTTTGCCTAATAATAATAATAATAATGATTGCCAATAGTTCTCCTTGCTTTTAATAGTCTATATTAACTTATTAATTTAGTTGGTTCTTTAGTCTGTCATACTCCCTTTCCATTACACATTCTTTTTATAAATTCTAGATTAATACAAATTTTAACACACACACACACACACACACACACACACACACACACACACACACAAATATAGGTCCCCCCTCCTTTTACTGTTTTGAGTGTGACACCTCAATGGTTAAAATATACCTTTATTCCCTCATCTTGATTCCAATAAACCATTATTTTTAAGAAGTTACAATAATAATCATTACATCTTTTCATTTGGATTCCGCAGCATATTTTCCCCCCTTAATTTTTAATAAATTACCCTATTTTCTAAATATTTTTAATTGCAGAAATATTCTTATTACCCCTTGTCATCCTGCAGAGTCCCCTTTTTAATTCATCAACCATTATCTCTGAAAATACAATTTCTTTTCAACATTTTACTATTTCTGTATTTCTTTATTTCATGCACCTGTTTCTTACTGCTTCTCTTCCCCCTCTTTTCCCCATATCTTTTCTCATTCCAGTTTATATCCCTCTCTTTCTTAATATCTTCCTTTCCCTTTTTCTGCTGGGTCTTTCTGTCTTTCCCGACTTCACAGGTATTCCCCCTTTTGATTGCCTTCTTAAGTCTCCACTTTTTAACCTTCCTTCTTTCCCCACTTCTTTGTAGCGTTCTTTGTGTTAATGGTCTATTTAAGATGTCTTCTCCTTGAGTCGACTCCTCCTCCTCTGAAGTTCTTTCTTCTTGTTCTTCAATCGCCATTTCCATTTTTTCTAACAGAGCAAAGTGATTCGCCTCTTTCCTGTAGTAATTCTCTCATATTTTTAAGTTCCATTTTTAATTCCCGAAGAGATACCATCATTACACACTCTTGTATTTTATGATCGTTAAAAGTCCACAAAAAAACACTTTTACTTTCCTTCTTTCTTCTTTCAATTTTCTAAAGTTCTCAATTATTCCAGCCCACGGTCTTTACCAATAAGATCAATCAATCCCACAGTCAGTCTTTCCTTGCTTTTTTCCTTTATTCTGGTTCTGCTTTCACTTTCTAAGATTCTTACTTTGTTTCAATATTTCTTTAATGTTATATCCACACAAGTTCATTCAGAAACTGGCTGCCTTTTTGTTTGAGCTCAAGTTTTTGTCAAAAGGTGGCACTCTCCATTACACAAAGTCTTCACCTTTTTCCCCTATTTTTTTATTTAGGGTTTTTCGAACCTCAATATTCCAGCACAGGCCAGTCTCCAATTTGTAAACTTTATTATTATTATTTTTTGACACTCTTAAGTCCAACTTTATTTTGTGCCTGTTTATTGCCAAAATATTTTAGTCTAATTTAGTTAAATCTTTAGTTCCAGCTTCTTCCTTTCCTGGTTCGAAGCCCCATTTAGCTGTCAAGAATATTTTCTTTTTTTTTTTTCCTGTCCCTTTGTAATTTCACTGCTCACTTTTCTTTTCTTAAAAATTCCATGTTACCTTAATCCCGGGGTACTTTTGTTTAGTTGTATCGCCCAATTGTCCTGGTTCAGATGTTATCCACCTCTTTCTTCCCTCCTGCACAAAGCTTAATCCAGCTGAGTCCTCCTCTTCAGGGTGGCCATTTTAAACCACCGCTGCAGTCATCTTCGGGGGGGGAAAAAGACCAAGCCCAGAAGGGGAAATGCGGCTCCCGTCAACCTGGCTTGCGGCTTCCCCTTATTCCGCTGCCCCTCCAAGGCAGCTTCATCCCCTAATCGTAATGATCGGGGCTCTCCAACGAAAGAGCACAGACCATAGCTGCAGAGAGTTGCGATCTACGGTCTGTCAGTGAGGAGGCTCCGCCTTCTTCCAAAGAGCTTGCACTTTTGAATCTGAAGCACTGCCCAACCCTAATATACTCCTGTTATGGATCTTGCCACATTCCAAGCATAGTTCTATCCTGGCTTATGAGCAAAAGAGTTCACATAGCATGTTACATGTTGATGTTAAGCATCTTATATCAGTAGCAATTCATAAGAGGCAAATATATAGCTGCTTTTTAAAATGTCACTTAAACAAAAACCTTCATCTAGGGATGGCCAAATCATTCCTTATGGAATCATAATATTCGATCTTGCTTTTCCATCAGTTAAGAGACAATTTAAAGGCTGATGGATGGCAGTTTTCGTTCAGTCAGCCTTCACAAACCAGTACACATCATTCTTTTGAGAATACATAACTACAATATTTGTGACAGGGCAAACAATATTTCTAAAATTCTTCTTAAATAGACTTCAGACTTTGGGAATCTAATTTAACAGTAGAGTCTCTGGGTAGTCAGATGATCATCAGCATCCCTATAGCCTCCAATATAAAACCGTTTTTGAATGTCTTTTTAAAGAGAGGAAAGTTAAAGACAACATAAAGCTGTAAACATGAAACCACCTGTGTCTGTTGTTAGTTGCTTGAGATCGGCTTCAGTTTTTCCAAATAATTTTCTCATATGTAGATTGGGGAGGAGATCTGTATGATTAGAATTACGAAGTACTGTCTTCCTTGTGCTGTTAATCACTGCACGTTGCTCAAGAGAGCTGAGTAGCCCTTTGATTTCCCTTCTGTTTTTTGTCTGTACAGAGGTCATTGGTAATACCATATTATATAACTACTTGGACTTCCCTGCTGGAGTAGTACCAGTTACAACAGTGACAAAGGAGGACGAAGAGGAGCTAAAGAGTTTCAAAGGACACTTCAATGATTTGGGGGACAAATTCTTTGCAAAGGTATGGAATTGCCTCATGACATTGCCCAGCAGCATTTACAAGTAATCCTCGAGATATGACCATAGTGGAGCCTGTCCAATATGGTCTCGTGTCATGATGGCTATGAAGCGAGATGGCCTCATTTAACCCCCACCCTGATCTCTCTGATGCAGCTGTTAAACAAAAAGGCAAATTATGAAATGGAACACGGTGAGCTTTAGATATAGTGAAGAGCCTTAGAGATCTGCCCTGGCCTTCTCCAACCCTGAGAACACCACCTTTGTGTGACCGCAAGGAATTGTGGGAAAGGTGAAAATGGTATTTCCTTCTGAAGGGCAGCCATGTGGCTTGTCCTCTTTCCCCAGCATGAGGCTCCAAGATCTTTAAAAGGCGTGTGGGAAGATGGGAGGGTGTTCTGACCCAAACCTGATTCCAAGAAAGCAAACACAAGACAAAGGCAGCAGTATAATCTGTTTAAGTTTCAGCTAAAAATCCTGTTTCTTCACAGATAAAAGGCTGCTTCCAACTAATTAGCTCCGAAAAGAAAGTGTTGTGGTTAGCTGGCCGCAGTTCCTGAGGAGCCTGTGCTAAGTGCGAGTGAGTGCAGGATGATTCATAGAAGAGCAGCATAGGCGACTCGGGAGTAAGAATGCTAATTAATGGCCCCTCCCTCCAGGGAATATAAGCCTGGTTTCAAAGGGTTATTGCTCCGTAGAAGGCAAAAAACATTCTAAGAAGCTCTAAGGATCCAGCATTGTGTGTAGAGATACTGGCTTATCTGAAGAATTCTGTCAAGGCTTTTCTGGTTGGGCTAATTGGCTGCAAGCCATCTTTTATCTACAAAGAAGTTTATTTGTAGATTAAAGCTGTGAAAGTTTGAGTTACTGAGTTTGTCTATGTTTACCCTCTGGGAACCCAGCTAAGTCAGAACAGGAAGAGCCTTGCCAAGTTTTTTTCAAATCTAACAAAATACAACAGATAAGAAATAGTTTACAAGAGTCTTCAAATACCAACTGTAATGTCCATGAGGCTGAGTTCAAAATGTCTTTGCCTTCTGCAAAGAAGGTTAATTTCACAGCTGGCTTTTATCTTCTTGAAAGAGGGGCCGTTACCTTGCAGCCTTATTCCCGAGTTGCCTGTGCTGTTGCAGCTGCTCTTTCCTCCGAGCAATCCTGCGTGCATGCACACTTGGCACAGGCTCCTCGAGAACTTCCACATCACTGCTGCCAGCCCCTACCATCTCTGAAGGCAGCAGTCCACTCCCTAATGGTCCTGGCCCCTCATTTCAGTCCTCGATCTCCTCAGCCGTCTGCACACCTGCTGCCGGCTAACCACAACAGAGAAGGGAGGGAGAGGGAGGGAGAGAAAGAAAGATGGGAAAGTGCTGTAGTGTCCCTGCTAAGGTCTGTAGCGGTGCTGCAACAGCTGTAAGTTCAAAAGCAGGCTGTAAATAGCTTTCAGGAGGCCTGTTGTAACTTCAGACGGTCATTAAGTGACTATTTGACATTTGATATAAAAAGCTGCTTTCTTTTTTCTGTCTTTGTAGGCAGTGAAAGAGTCTGTGGGACTCCCTGTGGCTATCCAGTGTGTGGCTTTGCCGTGGCAAGAAGAATTGTGTCTCCGGTTCATGAAAGAAGTGGAGACGCTAACCAGAGAAAAATCAAGGAAACAATGATATGATACCACAGCAAGCAGAATGGAATTCTTCCATGCTAGCCATGGACTCTGGGAACTGATTTAGTTTATACAACCAAGGGAGGTTACTATGGACGAATTTGTTGAGAAAATGTAAGGGGAACAATGATTATAGGGTTGAGCTTGACACCTTTAAATACTTTCCATTAAAATATTCAGTGCCATTCCAGCCCAATAAATATAAAAAAATTACCAGGTCTAAAATAATTAAAATTAGAAAGTCTTTAACTTACTTTTGGAATCAGAGTGTCTGTGGATGGAGCAGGTGGGAAACATTTGAAGAATTGATTTTCCCTGGCAATTATGTACATGAATGAAAAGAAAAGTCAGACATCTGATTGTGTACTTGTGTATGATATTCCAATGCAATGTATTATTAAAAATAAAATTTCCCTAATCTTCCCTGAGCAGAGGTATGAGAGTATGTTTGTCAGGTATCCAACAACTTAGCAATATATTAATCTTCAAGTAGTTTCAAGTGGTTTTAAGTTTGAAAATGAATAACTCTTGGCATCGATTCAGACAGGCTGAAGTCCACACATTCTTTTTGCAGGACCAGTTTTTTAGCTTCCTAAAGCTCACTATAATTCAGCTAGATTTATTCGCTCAGTTTGATACGATTGCTGCTAATACAACATTCTTTTTTTTTGGAATTATAACTTTTTGTGAAACAATGACATGGCTTTTACTGCAATTTCGAATATCTGTCATCTATCCCTTTATATTTCCTCAGCTTTAATTCTCCAGAGCCTCTATTTATTTCCATATAGAGAAAAGATATGTCCAGTGTTTATACAACAATAACGGTTCCTCCCAGTTTTACATCTCTGCAGCAAGCCCTTTAGCTTTTCTCCAGCTCCTATCTGACCATGTTTCTGCCCAGTTGTAAGTTTCCCTCCATTCAACACACTGGAGGCCTATAAAGACAAATTGCAATGTGAATAAATAATCCCTATTTATTAGATTGTATAGCCTTTCGTTCTCTCAAAACACAAAACTGTGTGTGTGTATACATACATACATACATACACACACACACAGAGTATATATTTATATTTGTTTTCTGAGGTTCTCGTGGGTATTTGTATGTGGATCTTTGGTTATTTGGGCTTTCTCCCGCGTAAGATTGGAGGTATCTAGGCAACGTTTCGATGAAGTCTCATTCATCATCTTCAGAGTCCTTTGCCCCCATCCCTACTCTCTCGCAGGCCAGGGAACACCCAGGAAGGGCTCCGATGCTGCTATCTCCCGCACATATCAGTCCATCCACCAGCGGTATCAACCCTGTTGCCCCACCTCCCTGCCAGCCATCTGGTCTTCAGAACGTGGCTCATCGGCCTCCGGACATCAGATTCCAACCACCCAGCATCAGTTCAGAGGTTCCTTTCTCCCATCTCCAGGGACAGAGAGAGGGGATAAAAAGAGAGAGAGAAAGAGGGAGAAAGTGAGAAAGCAAGAGAAGAAAGGAAAGAGAGAAAGAGGGAGGGAAAGAGAAAGAAAGAGGGAGAAAGGGGGGAGGGAAAGAGAAATAGGGAGAGAGAGAAAGAAAGAAAGGGGGAAGGAAAGAGAGAAGGGGGGGAAAGAGTATGAGAGAAAAAGAGATGAGAGATCCCAGTGTTTTGTTTTCTGTGGGAAAGGGGTCCAAATGACTGAGTATTTAAGGTTGCAGAAACAGGAAGCCAAGCTAAGTGCCTGAAGGACCCCATCCCATCAGTGGGAATTCAAGCGCTTCAGTGAACAACATGCTGGATTCATATGAGTGGTCCACGGTATTTAAAATTATGAGTTTGGTGGTCCAAAAGGTTGGCGACCTGTGGATTAAAAGACTTCCAAGGTCCCTTCTAGCTCTGATATTCTGTTATTCAGTTATAAAGCAATTATAAAAATAAGCATTATATAATTAGCAATTTAGCACCTTAGTAGATGAATTGGACATGGCATGTAAAGATTTGATACACTCCTTTGAAGCAAACTGGTTAAGGCAGAAGTTCCAGAGTTTTTATTACCTTGGTGCTGAAATACAGACTTGAATGGAGAGTAAGAGCAAACTAGTGATCAATTTAAACAATCATAAGTGGATTTTTTTGAACTTTTTTGAACTTGTGGCATCACCCTCTGAAATTACTTTTAAGGCCCAAAATAGCTTCTTAGCAACCTGCATTTACATTTGCCTGACTAAAGGTTCACAATCTAGAACAATAGCACCTTGAATCATTGCCCAATGGTTTCTGAGGGTAAAGCCAACCAATATACAAATATGCAGGAGATTTTTGTAGGATATTTTTGATACCTAAAATCTAATGTTGAACCAGCAGTTGCTGCCAATTACAAAGCTAGGAACCCAAGATAATGCTGAACTGAAAAAGAAGTAAGTTCAAACAAATCTAGATGACATTTTCACATGCTACATTGGAGAAGGTTAATTTGCAATTTCAAGAATGTAAGCTGTAAGACTTCTTTCATTTTGGCATAGGCTACCGCTGTCAGTAACTATGCTCAACATGAACAACTGTTAGGAATCTCATGTTAAGCTTTTAAGCAATGACAAAATGGAAAGGCAGGTAATGGCGCAATGTTAAAATCACAAAAGAGAACTGTGTCTAGTCTATACTATATAGAACTTAAAATATACATACTTGCTATATATTTGACCACAATTTCTGATACAGACTTGCGGTCCTCAATTTACGCCCATTCATTTAATGATCATTCAAATTATCATGGCAGTGAAAAAAGTGATTGTGCAAATGGTCTTGCGCCTATGATTATAGCAGCATTCTCAAAGTCAAGTGATCAAAATTCAGGGGCTTTGAAATCAGTATGTATTTATAATGGTTGCAGTGTCCCAGGGTCACCTGATCACCATTTATGATCTTGTGAGGAGGTTTCTGACAAGCAAACTTGATAAGGAAAGCCATATTTGTTTATCATGTGGTACCATAGCAAAATGTGGGAGTATCAGGCACAATTCACTTAGCAGCCATATCATTTAGCAACAGAAGTTCCACTCTCAATTGTGGTTGTAAGTCAAGGACTATCCATATAAAGACTCTTATTTCTTATATGGAGATTAAAATCCTACCATTCTTAGGTGATTTTGTACCAGTCTTTGAGTGTAATAAAGTTTTGATTTGATTTGTGAATGGTGATTTGACACTCTGCATTGTCAAGCTGCATACACTATCTCATCTATTGGATAACATTTTTGTACGGAGTTTACAAAAGAAGCTTTTTAAAGCTTTGAAGACTCTTATGAAAAAGAACAAAGAAAAAACTAAAAAAATCAAATTCTATGGCACTTGGATTGTTTTAAATTTAAGACTTAGAAGTAAAAGGAAGGGGTGTAAAGTTGGTTTATTTGATCAATATTAAAATAAGATATGCAGTTATATTTGGTCAACCTTAATGAACTTTCTGTTGACATTAGGACTGAAAAGATGAAACTTTATGGATTTGTCTATAGATAAGGGATTGGGTATAGGAAGATGAGAACGTTGGTTGTAAACTAAGAGAGGATAAAAAGTTACAAAATTTATACTTGTGATGAAGGTTGAAAGTAATTTCTTTACATATGTTCTTTCTGTTTTTCTTTTCTATTTTTTATTTTTTTCTTCACTTTTGCACTTTCTGTTCTCCTGTTCTATCTTCCCTTTAATTTGTATCAGATTTTTCTATTGTAATTAAAATCCTTAATTAAAAGTGTGTGTGTGAGAGAGAGGGAGGGAGAGAGAGAGAGAGAGAGACAGAGAGACAGAGACAGACAGAGAAAGAATAAGTCTACAGACCAAATACAATCTCAGTAGAGTTGTATCATAAAAATAAATGAAATTAGTAAATGCCATTTTGAATTAAAGGGGAGAGGGTGAAAATGACTCCAGGGGTCTCCTTGAAGTGTTGACATAAATGATTAAAATCTAAACTGTTATACTGTACTCCCAAATCAGTGTTTGCCAACCTGTGGGCTGCGGCCCACTGGTGGTCCGTGAGAAAATTTTGGTGGTCCACAGAGAAATGTCACCCCCAGAGCGTCCCCACCTCAAGCAATTAATCCAGGCTGCATGGGAACACAAGGCTGTGCCACCCACATGGCCCGTGGGAACCCTCCCTACCCACTTACCTGGCAAACTTGCCTGTTAAGTTGCTATTTTCCCTTTTTTTTCCCCTGACCATCAGCTGTTCTGCTGTGTCGGGAGATCTAGATTAGCAGTGCAGACTCAGGTAGCCGATGACAGAAAGATAGATCTCTGAATGAATCTGTGATTCTGTGAGCAACTTAATCTGCCTGCCTGCTTCGCCTGATTTTGGGTAAAAGTTGCTCTTTTTTATTAAAAAAATTCAATAATTACATACATGGCATGTTGTGAGTTAATTTTATGAGTTTGCTTTCAAGCAAATTTTATGTGACAAACTCAGGTAGCCGATGGCAGAAAGATAGATTTCTGAGTGAATCTGTGATTCTGTGAGCAACTCAATCTGCCTGCCTGCTTTGCCTGATTTGGGGTAAAAGTTGCTCTTTTTTTATAAAAAATTCAATATTTACATAAATATTTATAATATTTACATACAAGCCATGCGCAGCCAGTCACATGACCACCAAGCCACACCCACAAATTAGGCCATGCCCACAGAACTGGTTGAATCCCATCCCTGCCTCTGTGTGTTTGTGTGTGTGTGTGTGTGTGTGTGTGACAGACAGAGAGAGAGAAAGGGAGAGAGAGAGAGGTTATATCAGATCTCTCTCTCTCTCTCTCACCAACGTCAGCAAGCCACTGTCAGTCAAAATTCATATTAGTAGTCCCTGGCAGAGGTGGTATTCAGCAGGTTCTGACCAGTTCTGGAGAACCAGTAGTGGAAATTTTGAGTAGTTCGGAGAACCAGCAAATACCAGCACCGACTGGCAATTTTACAGTATACTTCCCCTGCGACGCCCATCAAGCCAAATGCACTGAACCGGTAGTAAATTTTTTTGAATCCCATCACTGGTCCCTGGGATTTAAAATTATGAGTTTGGTGGTCCCTGAGGTCGCAAATCCATAATGTGGTGAGTCAAAGATAGAAAAGAAAGGGCTGAAAGGGCTATTTCTCCATACATATCACCTGTTCAAGAAACAAGGGTATGAGCCAGTGGTGGGATTCAAATTTTTTTTACTACTGGTTCTGTGGGTATGGCAGGGAAAGGATACTATAAAATCTCCAGTCAGAGGTGGTATTTGCTGGTTCTTTGAACTACTTAAAATTTCCGCTACCAGTTCTCCAGAACTGGTTAGAACCTGCTGAATACCACCTCTGCTGTGAGTATATAACAACCTCTTTGATTAGTGTTCTCAGTTTACTATCTATTTTATTTGAAGCTTTGAAATGCTAAGGCACCACCAGTCTTTAGGCTTTCCAGTGAAGGCAGAGCAACATTTTGATTTTGCTGCTGGCAACTACCAATCTCTCCGTAATCCAAGTAACTGATTACCCCAGCTCACAACTCCCAGAACATAAATGGAAGAGTGGATTCACATTGCATGAATGTGGCACACATATATACAGATCAAAACTACCTGAACGGCTGCTGCTACTAAGTTTTCTACTAAAACAAGAAGAAGAAGAAAGACTTTTTTGCTATAGCTGCTGAGTTTGGGAACCCAATAGGCTGTTCTGAAGATATCAGTTGAAGCCTTAATTAAGATTATCTAACACTTTAAATAAATCATCCTTTAAATACACCTTGGGAGGAGTCCAAGGTACAACTGTGAGGTCTCCAGTAACCTGAGATAGTTTAATAGCCAATGCTTTAACAATACAAC